AGAAACTTACTTGGCTAGCTGTCTTCATCCCGTGACTACGGTGGCCGAGAGCTCAACGCACTGCAAATGAAAAAAACACATGCAAATAGAAAAAACACCTACAAATTAAGAAAACATCTAAATCAATTTGACCACACACGCGCTGCATCAGCTAACAACACAACCAAAAAAAAAAAAAAGATGAGCCAGTGAGCTTTTGCTGAAACGGTTTATGACTTACCCCCTATAAAAAAGATTTAAGTAACCTTACACATTGTCAGGGCAAGGCCTTGCATTTAAATGCACTCACTGCTCATTCCATTCCTTCGTAGTATAAACTGTGTCTACTACTTTAAATTTAACTGGTAAATAAGAGATTCAGATTTTACATATTTCACCTTTATAACAGCAGATGTAAAAACAGCTTGATTATAGCCGTTTATGCCAGTAGTAAATTCAGAGGTCTGGTAAAAGCGAAAGGGCTGAGAGACATCAACACTACAGTGGAGTAATGAGGACTGTGAGTCTGTGTGTGTGGAACCAGACGCTGAAGAGGCAGAGTGTCACCACACACACACACACACACACACACACACACACACACACACACACACACACACACACACACACACTTCTGCATTAAGATTTCATGAGCTGGGAAGGCTGGGTCATTTACTACTATTTTTGAACACACAGGAAGTTCCTGAAGGTCAGATAAGCCTGTTAAATAACAGAGATCTTTGGAAGAAAACTTTGGCAAGGTTTTTAGATGCAAGCTTGAGGGTGAGAGTGTGTTTATGTGTGTTTTGTTCAAAAGAGCAACAGGAGAATACTGAAGCAGAAGTGCTACGCTGGTATATCTCTGTGTGTTATGTAAGACCTGGCTGCGGTCCCGTGCGCTGGTGTCTCTGATCTTCTGGATGAAGTAGAAGATCAGCCAAGCAGAGGAGATAATCATCAGCACGATAAAGGAGATGGAGACGAAGACCAAGGAGCCGCGGTTGATGTTCTTGGGCAGTCCTCGTGACCCAACCATCACGGACACCAACACAGTCTGGTTCTTCTCCAGGAATCCCAGAATCTCCTTTCCAAAGGACTCTGTGATCATTACCGCCACTATGTCTCCAGTGCCTTAGGAGAGATCAATTATATTGCGATATAGGTTATTTTCAACCAAGAAAATTATGTGAAGGAGAAAAAATGATTAATAATACAATTATTAAATAATTAATAAAATAAAAATACTACAAGTATGAATAATAATAATAATGATAATTGTTATATGCATTTTATAATTTTACAGCACCTTTCAAATTTCAAATTTAAATGTTTGCGTATTTTCATGATTGCAACCTGTCAGAACAAAAGCTTGATGCTTGATGGTATACTATTTGAAAATGAAGAAACGAGGACGTAAATATTAGTATTGTAATTTTACAGTAAAATAAAATGGTATACAGTATTTTATTTAATACATTATTACAAATTATTAATTTCTTATTTTGTTTACATTTTTTATTTTAGGATAAATCAAAATAATCTCTATTACTTTTTAGTCATATTGAATTGTTCAAAAACAGTGGGAATGAGGCCTATGAAAACTCACGTGGAAAGAGTATTAAGAGTATTGAGTATATAAAGAACAAATACACAGAGATCCATACAAACAACATTTTACAGGAAAGCTACACAACCCATTGCAGATGCATGTAATTTATTTATTTTTTTACCTGCACTGAAAGCATACAAATGCACGGACGTTGTCCAACTCAGTTTAATACTCCTGATCTGACCTATTAAACATTCACAGTCACACAAATGGCACAGTAATCATGCCAACACAAAATGAGGACAAACAAACCCCCCCCGCCCCAACCATAAACACACACAATAACACCGATCTAGGGCTTAGGCCGTGCCATGGACACTGATATAATACTGGCCCTTAGGCTTTGCAATAATAAGGTTAGAACAGTACAGATGGAAAACTATTGCAGACCTGTCCTAGTCAGTGATCTAATCTCACCGTATTCTGCACTTGAACTGCCCTATATACAGGAAAACAAATGCAATGACAAATACCATCACGTAACTATTATTATGCTGGTCAAAACACATTTAAGCAAACGAGACTGAAAACGTTGTTATTTTGACTATAGCTAAGATATGATTAACCTTGATGGCACAAACTCGAAATACAAACCATTTTGAGAGATATATCCTAGACTGCCTCTGTCATATCTAGCTGTGCCCTGACATTTTCACATACAACTTTCTGTTTGTGGTTTCTGGCATTTTAGACTGCAAGTGTTTGGACTGACAGACTGCAGCAACACATCTTTGAGGTAAAGTTCTTTGATAAACCACTGAGATGCCATAATACAACATTAACTGGCTTTTCCCGATGACGAGTCTCAATGCCAAGGCACAAATCTACTTTCACAGCTTTGTAGCAGCAGATAGCATGGCAGGGCTGTGAAAGAATCACAAGGGACACAGGCTATACAAAACCTCACGAAAGGCACCACATAGAGCTATAGGTTCTTAAAGCATTACGTTGATTACAAAGAAATGTAAAGCACAGTGAAACAAATCCTATAACTTCTAAACGGCACAGCTTAAAAACTTTAATACTAACTATGAGAATGTATATGAGAATGTTTTGCATGATTTCTATTGACCTTGTACAAACGGTGCATTTGGACACTGTCCTATGCACAAAGATGAGTTATGGATCATTCTCAAAGCATGTGCAATCTCAACACATTAATATCAGGATTGCATACATCCTGAACATCAGGATACAACATTCTGAAATACAACAAAAAGTTTCAGTGCAACTTTGAACTTTTTTTCCCTAATAAAGAAAGAAAAGCAAAACAGAAGCATTTTATTAGTAAGTACTAGAGTAAATGTTGAATGAAATAGCATTTTATATAAGAAAATTAAAATAACACCATATTAATTGTTATATTGTATAAAAACATATTAGTGTTATATTTGCCAGCCTTCTTTCTACTTATGAGTACTTTTATCAGATGTTAAAAAACAGCTCTTTACAGTATATGTCCAATGAAGAGATAATGCTTAAAACTACATACGTACAATCAGCACTCTGAAAATAATTAATGTTCATTAGTTTATTAAGAGTTTCAGTGGATTATGACTGTAGTGTAAGGCTAAAGGGTGAACAGGCATGCATTTATTATGGAAGTAATCAAGGGTGCATCATCCCTTGTGTATAAAAACTGCTGCATCTTACAGCCAAATCCTGAATGTCATAAGAGTGTGAAAAAGGAGTCTGAATGTCACAGAATGTCATTGTGAATGTGGCTGCTTGTGTGTCTGACATTATGGTTGTTTCATGATGCATAAACAAAGGTTTAATTTGCAGTCTACCAGCTGGTATGATTTTGTATAGACTTTTTTTTATATGCTCTGGTGTACGTGAGCACTTATGTTTATGCGCAGGTGTGAATGAGACGTGACTGTTTAGCATGCTGCCTGGCTCAGAAGGCAGTTTGTCAGCAGTAAAGATGATGTCTAGGGCAGGACAGGGACAATTTGCTCCAGCGGTGACTGATAGAGCAGCTCTGACCAACTCCAAAGCCGTTTTTTTCTCCATAAGCAGCATGAGAACCAACAGATGTATATCATGACATACATCATGGTGCATAACTCACGTACACAGGCACAGTCTGTTGATGACACTTACAGTATTATCAAACCAAATATTATGGTAATTACTATACTATACTATAGTAATAATCATATCATTATCAAATATGATTCCAATAGAGATCTCAATAAAATTAGGCAAATATGGATTAAAATGTAAAAAATGTTAATGGCTCATCCTTCATGCATTTAGAATTGCTGAAAAAGTCTAAATGGTCTTACTTTATAACAGCGATTAGAAATTTATTTTATTCATTATTGATTGTTCCTTGCATAAAGGGCAAGGCATGCAAATATTGATCTGTGTTAAAGGGGAAACTCCCTCAAAGGTGGTCTTAAGCCCTGCACATGCTGACTGACACCGACAGTGAAGGTGATGCGATCCTTCAAACCACAGTGACTCAAGAGAGCATGTGGCATTATGAATTTAGATGCACTCTGCATGTAACTGGTTTTAAAATATTGGTTTCAACTCATATTACAGTCTCTTTAAACAGTACTTGAACAGATATTGAAAGGTGTTGATGCTATTGTACAAACAATGCTCAGAGAAAAGCATATGACTTATCATACTCCTTATATAAATACATTTACAATAAATATTTACAATATGCAATATGCACTCACATAATGCACCTTAAAATAAAGTGTTATATATATATATATTGGGATCAGAACGATTTTTTATGTTTTTTAAAGGAGTTTCTTGTGCTCATCAAGGCTGCATTTATTTGATCAAAAATACAGGAAAAAATGTAATATTGTGAAATATTATTACAATGTAAAATAACATTTTTCTATTTTAATATACATTAAAAAATGTTTACATT